ATTTCACAGCCCCCCTACGTGAACCTCTGAGCATTGCTAATGAGCCATGTTCCTCTGGAGAGAAATGCAGCTAAGACATGTTGACCTGTTGTTATTAAAGGTGATTGTGCTGTGTTTTGATTTTATTTTCTTTTTTTTACAAGACAGCACATGTCCTGATCCGTCTGTAGAAGTTATTTCTAGATTAGCTAAAGACATCCTCTTTGGTTTTTTCCTATTAATTCTGGTTGTGTTCTTGTTATTCTCTTTAAAGATTGTCAAGGGCTTAAATAACAGGCAACACTGTTTGTTGGAGAGCCCTACAGGAAGTGGCAAAAGCTTGGCATTACTTTGTTCTGCATTATCATGGCAGCAGGCTCTGTATGGTAAGTTGTCTTAGGGTCTGTGTGCCCAGATTTTATTACCAAAATATGTTATAATGAATTGTTGTTGTTTATCAGACTTTAAACATTTGGTTTCAGGAAACTAACCAGGTCTTTTTCCACCATTACATTTATTGGCAACATAAACCAGTAATGGCCAGTAATGCTAAACTGGATTTAGCTATCTGGTCTCATAAGGGGATTGGATGGCTGTTGGAACTTTGAAAGAAAATACTTGTGGGTTGTAGTTATGCAGATTGAATAGAAAAAGGGTATTTTTCATTTCTGCAAGTTGTTACAGTTCTTTGCACTGCAAATCTTCCAAAGTTGTTGAGAGTTTGTTCAGACTTTGTAGAGACACAAGGTTTATAAGGCCTAAATAAATCTTTCATCTTAACTGTTTTGAAAGTCTAGTTCTCATGTACGGTCTTGAGTAGTTTTTAATGGAAGACCAATGACTGTGTCCTTCAGAGAAATCACCGCTTACGTCGTCATGTGAAAAGGAAGAGAGAAAGGCAGAGACCTCACCGCCCTGTCGCTGCGTGTGTCATTCCCAACCCAAGAGTGACGAGGCTGCAACGAGTGTGAATCATGGTGCTTCGTGTTCTTTTACTAATTATGAAACAGGAAGTTCCATAAAACCTGGAAGCCCGCTGGCAAACACAGGTAGCTTCATACATAGGCAGCTAAAAATCTCTTCTGGAAGTAAAATATGGAGGTGGTGATGTCTTTTTTTTTTTTTTTTTCTTCTTTCAAGTCAGGGACTTTTTTACTGTGATAACAGCAGATTCTGTCCTGCATGGAAATCTGTATGGAAATGGTGGTTAATGGGTCTAGAAATGTCTAATACTGTTTCCTACATCAAATGTATTTATAGTAAACTCTATTTTAAAAATGTTGCTGCTGTTTAATGCGTTCCTAGCAGTGGACATACCTTTTTATTTTTAATTACAGAAAGTAAGGGAAATGAAACGCTAGCTTCAAAATTGTCTGCCAAAAAAAGGTTATCTCTATGTGACAAGGAGAATGATGATTTTCAAGTAGACAGGAAGAGGATTCGTCCTTTAGAAACTGAGAGCCAGGTGAGCAAACTTTATTGGCAGTAAAATAATCCAGGCATCGCTCAACAAAGCTGTCACACACCTATCAACATTTCAGAGAGGGGCACGGAGAATTGTTGAGTCATGTCATAGTCGTAGTATAGATTGACAGGTTTTTGTTCATTTTTATTGTTACTTGTTACAAAGGAGTCCATTGTTGCATTAAATTGTTCATAATACCATGTCCTAAATTATATCTTGCATATTTAAACATCTAATATCCCCAAAATGTTTTTATCCCCAGCTGATCTATAATATTAAGTCAAAGTATGAGATTCTAGAGTTGAAAAGTGCTCTTGCAAATATGTATTAGGGATTCAAATAATGCTATGAATGTATTAGAGTTCTGGTTTATATCCTGTCAGATGTTGTTATCTCTGGCCTAATATGTGGAGCACGATATTTCTGTTGTTTTCTTCTGTGTTGGGATTGGTATCACGTGACTTAGTACTTGTATTCAGATGTGCACTGTAAATAGCTTTTATATTGCTTTAGAGTATTGCTTTAAGTTTTTAGATCAGCATGGCTTGAATTTATTTCTTGTTTTAGTTATGGAAGTTTTCTGCTTATGTCTTTATAGTATTCTAATTTCTATCAGTTTTGTCACAGTGGGGAAATTTAAAGAAGAAACGCTCAGCCATAATTACAGATTTTGAATAATGAATTTTGTAGTTAAATGCTTTTCCCAAATGACTTTTGTGTGGCTAAGCTTTGGTTAAACTGTTAAAAAATAGTAGTGATACTACTGATACCAAAACAGACTGAAAACAGTTGGAACAAAATGACTGACTGCTGGTGGAAGCACATAGTTCTGTCCAGTGTGTTTGAACACAGAACCTCTTTGCCCCAGCAGGTTAGAAAACGTCATTGCTTCGCAAAAGGAGTGCAGCTGGTTGATGCTTTAGAAGTTTATCATCAGAAGAAAAATGGAGAGCTGATTGTTCACTCTGAGAAAAGTGTGAAAACCACTACTTTTTCTCCCCAAACAGTAAGTAATAGAGTAAAATCTTTTACATCAAGACTGCTAGTTCCAGACCAATTTTTAAAAAATATTATTGTAAAGAGATTATGCATGAAACACAGCTTGTTAATAGAGTTTCAGAAAACACTGCACCTCCAGCTGCGTTACAGCCTAATGTAAAGCTTCCCAAGTCTGTAAGTTGCTTTAAAGTAATATATTCTTGCTATCAGCAGTGAGAACTGCAGTGGCTTTTACTCCTAATGGTGCTGTCTAACCAACGTGGTTTGCAAAGTGTAAATTATTTCTGTGAAAGTTGTTCTTCTAAACAGTGGGTTGAATTCTTTTACACTGTGTTTCCTCAATAGCACAGAACCTGACCCAGCAATTCAGCCTGTAAACTTCCAATAGGTGACAGCAATTGTACAGCAGATATAAATCTGTGTGTTATATTCCAATTTATAGTAGAATTCTGACATCATGGAAAAAATTGAAACTAGGACCATGGAAATTGAGTGACATCAGAGTTTGTCGATTTCATTCAACTTGCCGTTCATTCTTTTGTGGAGTATGTAGTAAACAAAAGACAGCATTTAATATTAACATGTGTGTCTTTAGACCTTAAAAAGTAGTATAGAGAAAGTTGGAGCAGATCATTACTATATATTATAGTAAAAAATGAGTAATATATATCGCATGTGATTAAGAAGAAAAATTCTGTGTGTTATTCTGACAGTGTATGTTTTAACTTCAATAGTTGTTTTCCAGTATACTCTGCTTTTGTGAACACAAAAGAAGCCAAAAGCTTTGGTATTGCTTTAAGACACCAGGAGCTAGATCTTTTCTTGACAAAAGTGCATCTGTGTTCTAGGTCATTTGATGGGATGTAATTTTTATTAGTTTTGGAAAGCTCTGTAGGTTTTTTGAGTAGGGTTTGAAATGCTTTGTGCCTCTGGTCTTCAATTGGTAGTTTGAAATACAAAGGCCAGCAGAGTGTGCTGTTGATTTTCAAATAAAAAGACCTTTCATCGTTTCTTGATTGTAAAATTACCTTTGTTACTTCGGTGTGAATCTCTGAAAAACTTGATTTACAACTTCTAGAAATTTCATGTAGTGAAGAAAACTGAACTCTTGTGGTATGGATCAACAGACTGTTAAATAATAAAAGACTGAATCACAGTCTGATTTCTCTAAAAAGACACTATTTTTGTGGCAGTGTTTGAGCTGTACAGGAGTGTGTTATAATGTGTATCCCTGGGTCAGGGTTTGCAGACAGCACAGCATCCTATTCTAATTTCAAACACTACTACTCCTTTCACTACTCCTTTAGAAAGAAATAACCTACGAAAATACAAAATTATTTTTTTCTGTTAAAGTTTCTTTTAAAGAATGACAGTAGTGTTTTGTTTGTGTGGGTAAACCCTGGGTCAGGGTTTGCAGACAGACAGTACAGCATCCTATTCAAATTTCAAACACTATACTGTTCACTACTCCTTTAGAAAGAAGTAATCTAAGAAAATATGAATTATTTTTTTTCTGTTAAAGTTTCTTTTTAAGAATGACAGTAGTGTTTTGTTTGTGTGGGGTTTTTTAAAAGCAATTTTATCTTCAAGAAACAAAGAATAAGGTGGTATTTTCCTGTGGTGAACTGTTACTTCTGCAGACTGAGAACTTGTCTGATATCAATAAACAATTACAGAAAGTAAGGCCCCGTTTATCGTTAGTAGTTCTGCAGCTTAACTGCATTAAGTTTGAGATGTGAAGATCCATCCCAGCATGGGCTGTGAGGTACAAAAATGCTTTTCTAGTGTAGCTTATATAAAGTCAGCTGAGGTTATGTTCAACACTTATCGTAATGGACTATGTGTTTAGGATAATACGATAATGCAATCAAAATATTTTCTTAATCAATGAGATAAGCCTCCCTTTGTATATCTTGTGGTTTACTGTAGTCAATCCTGTGTTTAAAGCAAAATTAGTTCCTTGCCAAGCATTCCTTTTAATGGCCCAACAGAGAGGGGATAGGTTGGTTGTTGTAAGAGTGTGAGAGGTGCTGCCCAGCTGGAGATGCAGCGGGTGAGGATCTGCTGCTGCTTTCAGCCCAGAGCCTGGGAATCCACTTCTGCCCTTCTGCTGTTAATTCTTGCAAGAGAGGGCAGTTCTAGTGTGAGTTTAAATGTGAAATTATACCCTTCTGGTACTCTCTTGATTACTTCTGTCAAAGCATATGGTCTGAGAAACTGGGGCAGCTGGGTTAAGGAATCCCCATTTATACCAGGTAAAAAAGTAAACAGTAAATGGAGAGTAGTGTAACAAACACTTGGGGTATCAAAAAACAACTGTGAAAAGAATCTGTCTTAATGTGCTAGCCCATTGCAGTTTAACATATTGCTTACAACCTTCACAATGGAGTTTGAGTGACTTCTGTTACACATTCCAGGAGACTGGCAGCCTGTTACAATCAGGGTCTGGACTCCAGAATAGGCTAATTTACCGCGATGGGATGAAGAAAGTTGTGGATTTGTATTACACGCTCTCACCTGACACCGTATCTGATCCTTTTCCCGCTGATTGACGGTTTGAATGAGCTCTTTGAAGCGAGTTCCAGCTTAATTAAAACGTTTGCTTGGTTAGCAGTGATCTGTGAAAGCCTGTGATAAATATTGAACCGGGTTCACCTGCTGGTTACTGTGAGAGGATAAACAGCTGCTTTGTGTACTTTAATCAAGAGGCTGCAGCAGCAGCAGAATACTGTGCTTTTTGAGCACTTATAAAGGAATAGTTGAAAAGCTCTGGTAATGTCACTGCTGATATCTTCCTAGATTGGGCTTGTGTGATATTTCACACAAGAGGTATTCACTGCTGTATCATTTAGATGGCTTTGTAAGCGGGAAATGTAGATGAAGATATGAAGAACTCCTCTTATCTCTTTGTATTTCAAAGATCATAGCCTCAGTGTTTGTTTAGCTCTATTTTACAGGTAGGACAGGTTGGTATACCTGATTATTCTTTTTTTTTAATCGGACTTCCACGTTTTTGCCGTATAAATATTGATGTGATAGGCTGTATTATCTACCCCTGACAGAAGTAAAAACAAGCTGGATTAGCCTAAGGTCCATATAGTCTGATATCTGATCTCTAACAGCATCTGTTACTGGATGTTTCTGATTAAATACTGCAGAAAGTAGAGAAGTATCTTTTTTTTTTTTCCCCCTCTCCCAAATGAAAATCTCTATCCCAGATTCAAACAGCTGAAAACAGGTTTAGCCCTGAAGCCAGAGGGTATTATGAAATAGTTTTCTATTGTCTTAATATTATTACCTCTCAGACCCCCCTATTCTTTCATAAATAAATTGAAACATTTTCTAATTTTATTATAGTTTAACCAATATCTCTGTGTTACAGGTCTAAAAATTAATACTTTGAGGCAACACTGTTATGGGAACTGCCATATGGGAGTTATCACTTTTTCAGCTGGGGAAAATTCTCTTTCCTTTTGCTGTAGTAGAGGGAGAGTAACACCACATTAGATTTTGCTGTGATATCAGTAGTAAATTCTTTTCATGGAAATATATAATTAAAATAGTTTGTTCTTAATAAATTTAAAGACAGCCAAGCCATTTTCTAAAGGATACAAAGAATTCAAATGCAAATTGACACACTTGAGTAAGGTGCAAATAACATGAGGAACTCAACTTTTTAAACTGTGTTTTAGCCATTTTCTCAAAGCTTCTCTTCAGTATAAAGGTCCTTTTAAAAAGGTTTCATTTATTTATTTATTTTGGGCTAATGGTGCCTGTGGCTTTCAGAAATGTTATGACTACTGCAGGCAGTTTTATACTCTTACTACTTACTATAAAATTAATCTGAGTTTACAGCTTTCTCAATGATGATTTTTTTTTAAGCTTTTTTTTCAAACTTAAAGGTAACATTTTAAAACTGCAATACTGGGTAAAGTGCTTCTTAAAGCCAGTATTATACCAATTTCAAACCTTTTAAGAAAAACTTTTAAGGTCACCTGTAAAATACACATAAGAACGCTGTTAATTCCTTTTATGAAAAGAAATATATCTGCTTTTTAAAACTTTTTTAAACTTACAGAGGAGCCTTCTGTTCATGTTTCTATATGTATTTATTTGAATTGCATTTTCCTGTTGTTAGAACAACTTTTGCAAAAAGGTTGCCTGATTGGTGCTAATAATTTTCTATTACTTTTGTTTGGCAAACTAAATGTGAGGCTTAGCATTAGCAGTGAGATATTAGTGATAGGGTATTGCTGGATTCTGTGTATTCTTTTACTCCTGAAAACACCATCTGCCTTAGATTGCTGGATTCTGTGTAATCTTTTACTCCTGAAAACACCATCTGCCTTAAGTTAAAATGAAAAGATAAACTTGTTTTTAAAGGCCCTACGCAGTAAGTAAACCGCGTCTGTTGTATTAATTGTTAGCATGGTAAGGTGGTTTTCATTATTTCAAAAGGCAAAATAGAATATAGTTGATGGAAATATCAAGGTACAATTTGCATTGCAGTTTTCTGTGTGAGTACAAACCGGGTTGAGTGTTGCCACGTATGTAACATATACCATATGTCAGCTGTTTCCTGCTCCGCTGTTGACAAGAGCCCCATTCATAACTCTTCTTTTTATCCTTTGGGTGAATAAGTAATTATTCAATATAGAAGGCAGGATATTTGGAACGGGCTATTTCATGTGGCAGCACACCGTAATGAAATCTGCTGGTACTGGCAACCTGAGAGGGGAATGTAACAATTCCAGCATGGGTGTAACTTTATCTGCTTTGAGGGCCTGTTTATTTGGCACATCAGTGAACCTTTTATCCCAGTGAGTGACAGCTCCAGAAGGGTTACATTTACATGCATTCTCTCATGTATTGTAATATTTAATGGCGGACAAGGCTGAGTGGGACTAAGGGTAACACGAACTTGCTTTTTCTCGGAACCGAGGCTAAAAGACAGCTTGATCCCCAGAATTGTGGTGTAACACACGGCCTGACTTAGCATTTGTTTATCATGGATAATCTTACTGATTACAATTAAAAGGGGAGGGAGAAGTATTTGAGCGGGCAGCTGCATGTTGTTGCTTGCGCTGTCACCTGAAAACCAAATACAAACTCTTTTACACTGGAAGAATTCATTATTTTTTATGGGAGGTGTGTGTGGACACGGTTACTCACCAGTTGTTTTGTTTTCCTTGTGTCTCTTCACAATAATTATTACAATTTCATGACAGCTGTTCCAGTATTTCATATTATGAAACATTGTCCTTCTCAAGTAAAAAAAATTGTCTTTTAACAAATATTTTACAGCATTAGGTTTTGTCTAGAATTACTACCTATTTTATCTTTTATTCTCATAGTTACTAGGTGGTTTTTGACATAATGGCATGGCAAACATGTTTCTAATGGAGAGTGTATAATGTAGTCTGTTTTATCTGCAAACAGATCTCTTCAGACTGTCCAGATTTCTTCTGCTTGCTTTAAGGAAAAAATGTACCCTATTTTTATTTGGTTTTTGGTTTCTTCACTTAAGGTGCTGGACTTTTGTTCTGTGACAGGAGTGTCCTTATGCCGAAGCTTAAATGTGAGAAGCTCATTTGCATTATTCACATGTGCAAACACTCTACTGGAATAATAATTCTTTCTGTGGTTGGGTTATGATAAAGTGGTATCTAGTGATTGCTAGAAGGTTTTTTTTAAGATTTTCAGGCTTGATGGTGTGTGTGCTTTAGTGTTTTTAAACTTTTTGCAGTTTGATGTGCCAACCTGGTGATTTAACAGGCTGTCTTGAACTATCCTAGAGGGCATTTTCTAAAGAAACATGCTAAATCTGATTATAGTCTATTTTACCTTGGGATTTTGTTAATCTTTTTTTTCTTTTGGATTGCAGTCTTCTGGTCCTTGCACTGAGTGTTCTTGTTCTTCTGGAAAAGAAACTGATAAAAATACCAGTAACACAAAGAAGAAAGAAAATGGAGATCAGTTCATTCCCAAAATATTTTTTGGAACACGAACACACAAGCAAATATCCCAGATTACCAGGGAATTGAAGAGAACAGCGTATTCCAGTGTCCCTATGACCATTCTTTCCAGCCGGGATTATACCTGTATTCATCCAGTGGTATCTGGTAGTGGTGGTAACAGGAATGAAATGTGTGTAGAATTGCTGGAAGGAAAACATGTGAGTAATTGTGTTTCAGAAAATGAGCCTTCTTTTAAACATATTAAAATGAAAGGTAATTGAGCAGTTGGAATGGGTAACGTTTTTGACTTCTTTATACTGTGTTGGTTAAATGCTTTTGGTAATTTTGTTTAAATGTTAATTGTTAGAAAATGTTGATACAGAGTATCAATACTGGAAAAATATATGATGATAGAATATTTATGACTGCTAGGTTAATGTTGTCAGTAAAACTTAAATTGTCTTGGGTTTTAAAGATGAAGAAGAAAGAAGTGTCCTTTATCAAGGACATTTTAGAACATGAATTTGTCTGTTTTCTTTCTGACATTGTTTTTTGTTATTGTCCAACATAAAAAGTAGCTGGTAAAATGCTACCAGGAAATAAAGTCGAATGCACGTAACAATTTGGAGGATTTAAGCTTACTTGGTTTTCATTATTTTTTTGCAACCGCTAACTATCTGTGCTTATTTGCTCTTAGGGCAAGTCCTGTCCGTACTATCACGGTGTACATAAACTCAGTGAACACCACGCCCTACAGTCTGCACACGGGATGTATCAGGCTTGGGATATTGAGGATCTTGTAAGCCTGGGAAAGAAGCTTCGTGCCTGTGCTTATTTTGCAGCCAGAGAACTCATGGTGCACGCAGATATTGTATTTTGTCCTTATAATTATCTCCTAGACCCACAGATACGTGAGAGCGTAAGTATATTTGTAAAAAGATTGCAATAACTGAAGTTATGGGGAAGTTAGAAATTCTGATTTATATCCAAGCTCTTAACTACAGAATAATTGCTAATTTTTTATTCTCTTTTTTGAATTAATTTTTTTTTCTCTTTTTCCTTATCCCTCACCGCACTAAATAAGCATTTCTGTATTTCAAGTAATGCTTACACATCAGTCACGTTTGTTTTTAATTAATGGAAAAGAAACCCTTGCAAACTTCACAATTGTTTGGTTGATGGAGAGTGTAATGGCATCATAGAGTTGTTTGGGTTGGAAGGGACTCTTAAAAGCCATCTGTCCCACGAGCAGGGACATCTCCAACTAGAGCAGGTTACTCAGAGCCCCGTCCAACAACTGTTTGGGTTGGAAGGGACTTTTAAAAGCCATCTGTCCCATGAGCAGGGACATCTCCAACCAGAGCAGGTTGCTCAGGGCCCCGTCCAACCTGAGCTGGAATGTTTCCAGGGATGGGGCATCTCCCACCTCTCTGGGCAGCCTGGGCCAGTGTCTCACCTCCCTCATTGTGGAAAAATGGTTCAGATTATATTCATCCGGGCTGAGAAAAGGCCTTCCCCCTTCCCTCCCCCCACTCTTTTCTCCCTCTAGTTATTTTCTACGTTACAGAAATTGGATCAAAAAGCTCAAAACTTTCTGTTGCTTACATCAGAATGCAAAATATGCACTTTTTTGACAGGATCTTGTTAGTTGCTGTTTCTCATTAATATCTTTCACTGTTTTACTAGATGATAATTTTATTTTTTAGATGGAAATAAACCTAAAAGGCCAAGTAGTCATTTTAGATGAAGCCCATAACATCGAGGACTGTGCTCGGGAGTCAGTGAGCTACGGTGTTACAGAAAATCAACTAAGAGCTGCTCGAGAAGAGCTGGATTTTATGGTCAATAACAACATCAGGCAGAAGGATCATGAGCCCCTACGGGCTGTGTGCTGCTCTTTGACAAAGTAAGGCAACTCTTTCTAATTCCATTGTATCAATTAGTATTTTTTAAAATTAAATTTAGATTCCTTTTGCTGATGCAATTTATGGGTTACTATGTTACATCAGATAAAATGCAACAGAGGCATAATTCAAACTATGCAGTCACCTGATCCGTGTTCATTTGAGGAATCCAGAGGGGTTTGTTCTATTTAAAAAATACTCTTGTCTTAAAGGGAAGCCTTTAAATTCTGTTTTGAAAAGTATGTTAAGCTCTTGCATGATGTGCTAGTCTTGGAGGAACTTACTGTCCTACTTCGTGAAGTTCTGTGTGAAAATTTTACCTAAGATAGATAGTTTTTATCTTTCATATGCTCCTGTTTGCTTATTTGACAAATAGTAATACTTTAATTTTGTCAAAGCATGAATTAGTTCACATTTATAAAATGCTTTCAAAGCCTTGAAAAAGCCATGAATCTGTTCTTCAAGTCTGGTTGGAATCTATTTGGAACAGATTCATCATAGTTAAAAGTGAATTTATCACCCATGCCTTTTGTTTTTCTTGTGAAACAACTTGAATTTGAGCAAAGACGTAAGGGTCTGAAAAATTGGGGTACCTGCAAATCATAGAATGGTTAGAGATGGAAGGGACCTTAAAGATCATCAAGTTCCAACCCCCCTGCCCTGGGCAGGGACACCTCCCACTAGAGCAGGTTGCTCAAAGCCCCATCCAGCCTGGCCTTGAACACTTCTAGGGATGGGGCAGCCACAACTTCTCTGGGCAACCTGTTCCAGGAGGGGAAGAAACAAATCTTTTGGGTAGAGTGGGAACATGAGAAAATTGAAGTGATGTCCGAAGTGTCTGCAGCCTTTAATTTTCTTTTGAGGGATCCAGGGACTGAGAGGGTTCAAAAATGTACTGCTAATAAAACCTTGAACAGCAGTGTCAGCAGAATAAAAGCAAATAAAGGTACAAGTGGCTTTGAAGTTAACTGAATTCTGATTCAGTGCACGTCAAATTGTCATTTAGTTGCATTAGTGGTTGGTGAAATAGACTTTGGAGTACACCACAGCAAGCAGTTCACTGTTTTTCCTGTCCTTTCTCTATTCTGAGAGTTAATGGTTGTGTGTCACAAGACAAGTGACATTTGGTTTTCGTTTTTGCAGAAGCAAATTCTCCTACCTTGGATTTCGAATGTTAAATTTTAGTAAAAGATGAGAATGGCATGGCTGGAGATTTGGTTGCCTCAAGCTTATAACCTTATCAGAAAAACTAAGGTTGATTGTCTTGGCAAATCTGCCAACAGCATGAAAAGCAGTTGTTGGAAAGGAGAGGAGTGGGTGTAAACAGCCAGTAATTGGTAAAATGCTGTTGCATAGTGACATGGCTTTGCCAAATGCATGGGCAAAAAAAATCTTAGAAAAGAAAAATCTTATTTCGGTTATAAAGATCCTGGGCCTTCATTCCAGAAAGCACTTAAGCATGGGCTTAATGCCACAGAGGTGCTAACATGACCTTTCTGAGGAAGCTGAAGATATACCAACAGAGAATACTGGCGAGTTTTTCTGATGAGATGCAGATTTACCAGGACAAATTGCTCTGTTCAATGGAGAAAGCTCTGTCAACAATGGGATTTTCTGAGAGGGAGGGAAGGAGCAAACAGACTTTTTTGAATTGAAGGCACGTTTGTAACATTTGTTAAATCTTTTCCTGAAAATATTGCATGCACTGATTTTTCACTTCAAAACCATAGATATCTTTCTGGGAATCAAGCTAATTTTATTTGTGCTTACTGCTTTACTCTAAAAGTAAATTAACAGGTATTTAAAGTAAATGCTTTAACATTAGAATTAATATATGGATTTTATTCTAGAATTCACTTTTTTTGCTGGTATTATAGTATTAGGAAGGTCCTTGTGTTAAGTTTCTATTTGCATTTATAGCATGACCATTTCAAAAAATATGTGATGATGTTTGAAGTTCATAACAGGGAAACAGAAGTTTTAAATTTCCTGAAATATTTTATCCATTTTAAATCTGTTTCGTTTCTGTCATAGTCACCTTTTCTTAATTTTAGTTCCAGGTTTTTTTGATGTTACATTTGAGGAAAAGGGACAGAGGATTACACTGGTGAAGTTCTGCTTGTGTTAGTGATCATCGTTCCTTAATATGAGAAAGCAAATTATAGCCAAGGAAGTGATTGTTATAGTAGTTTATGGGCTTTTTTTTTGGATTTAACTTGGCAAAAGGAAAGTTTGTTTGGTTTGGTTGTTTGTTTTTTTTTTAATTGCTCTCTTGATCAGATTATTTGCAGTGACAGGACAGGAGATCTGGAACTGAAACAGTCACTAAGCCCTGTTGCTTTAGTTGATAATGATTAACTGACTTTACAGGTAAATATTTTGAACTGTTGTAGAAATGACAGCTGTCTTTCTGATGCCTCCTGCTGGTTGATGAAGCAGACAGCTCCGGCATTTCCTGAAAGGGAGGAAGCCTGCCTGCTTTTCAGGGTGGAGGGAAGGTCTTATAATATTGTAGGGATGATGGAGGATACATTCAATTAGAGAAAATTTTAGCTCTGCCACAAATGAGATGATCTGCTTGTTTTTAGAAAGTCTCGTCACATTTTGCATTGTGCCCTCAATTATAATTCTGCTTAATTTTCAAATTGTAGCAGAGTTACAGATACCTGTAGGTAGGTTAAAATATGCACTTTTTATTGCCTTGTTTTCCCTAACTGTATATAGATATTAAATGTACTCATTTCATGCTTTGAGATTTGTTCTTAATAGGAAAGTGCACAATTGACAGACATGATAAACCAACCTGCATCATTTACACTGAGTGGCTTTAAAAGTACAGCAGAAATCTTTCTTAAGCGAGTCTGATGTTATATCGTAAGAGCAAATAATATTTTAATACTTATTCTATATTGTAAAGATATTATATGATGATAAAGTATAAATGTATAGGGAGAAATTTTCTTCTTCAATGATCTGCATCAAGAGCAGTTCTGTAGAAGGTAGTTCAACAGAGAAAAACTGGCACAAGGAAAAGCAGAATCTCTCTACTTAGATGTAGTAAAATCTGTCTGCTGTAATTGTTGAGGTCTGGTTTGTACCTGCAAAGTATCTCCAAATCTCTAAAATAATGCTGAAATTATTTCTGATTTCTCTCTTTTTACAGCTGGTTACAGGAGAGCTCAAGTCAACTAGTAGAAAGAGGGTATGAAACCTCCTGTAAGGTTTGGAGTGGAAAAGAGATGCTCACCGATTTGCACAAAATGGGAATAACTGGTATTACTTTTCCCATTTTACAGGTAATGTTGCATGCTATATAAATGAGTACCAGAGTGCATAATAATGATGTTGTTAAACATCTTAAAATGTCCATAAGTTAAATGCTAACACATCTTTTAATTTACTGCAATATTGGAAAGCTGTCTGAAAATGATACCTGATGAAAACCAGGAGTAATCCACTTGAGCTACTGGAGGTTGTAGAGAATCAATGTTCTAAAGGATATAATTGATCGTGTACAATTATTTAAATTGAGCTGCTGAATCAGTGATAGTTTTGTCTGCTCTATCCATCTGTGTCTTTATTGACTGCTGAAATGTATTTACCCTACTTTCAAGTTAATCCCTCTTTTCTGTGTAAGCCAAATATGTTAAAAGCATTGTTACTTTCCCTTTTCAATTCTGACTTCTGTCTGACTTTAATAGGTATCGTAAGTGAACTTTTAAAACAGTGTGCTGATGCTGATAGTCTTGTATCTGTATTAACTTTGATTTTGAGAAGGTGCTTAGAATGTTGTTAATATGGAGTTTGTTTGCCTCTTATAGAAACACCTTGCTACCGTCCTGGAAAAAGAAGAAAAAGTATCAATGTTTGGCAAAGAGGAACTTATTGAGATACCGGTTGTGAGCCCTGCCACTCAGATTGTGCTGAAAGGGTTCTTCATGGTTCTTTCATATCTTTTTAGAGATAATAGCAGGTCAGTGCAAATACATGCCCTGAGCTGTGTGGTTGTCTTTAATTCAGCTGCTTTGCCAAAATGCCTCTTTCATTTATGCAACACCTCAGTTATGATGCCTGGCTTCTGAGCAAAACTAACAATTCAGAAAGCTTTGGAAAATCGATTTATGTGGGAAGAACTTAAATACTACCAAATTATTTTTTTTTTTATTCACAAATGAATTCAAATAATATTGAAGAAATTTATTTGAAGATCAGCTGTAAATTTTTGTGGTGTGTTGCCAAGTTAAATATGTATGGGTTTTGATTTTCTTTTAAATACCACCAAATGATTTTTTTTCATTCACAAATGAATTCAAATATTGAAGAAATCTATTTAAAGGTCAGGTGTAAATTGTTTTGGTGTGTTGACAAGTTAAATATGTATGGGTTTTGATTTTCTGCCCAGCACTTATCATTTGACTGTCTTGATATCTCGACTACTAATGCAAGCAGTTACTAAAAATTTCTGATTCAAACCTTTTTTTAAAATATTAATTATTGTAAAATTTCACTGCTTTTTCTTAAAGTATGAAATTAATTTTTTTTATGCTTAAATGGTAAATGCATTGTAGCAACACTGTCTTTGCTTTGTATGAGCTTAATGCTTACAGTTTGATTAATTATACTTTTTACTCCTATTTCCCCACATAGGTATGCAGATGACTACAGAGTGGCTCTGCAACAAACTTACACTTGGATGAATGAAAACCAACCTGATGGTTCCGATTCAAGTGTGTCTCTTGTACGGCCTAAACATAAGAGGAGTTTGCGGCACAAAACCATGGTCCACATGCTTAATTTTTGGTGCTTGAATCCTGCCGTGGTAAGCTGAGTGGGAAGTACAAGGTCTTAATTAATTTGAGTGATGACTATTACATATAAGATCTTAACACAATTGTATTGATTTTTCTTAATTCCTTCTTTTTTTTTCTTCAACCTAGGCTTTTTCAGACTTAAGTGATGTTAGAACAATTGTTCTGACATCGGGTACGCTCTCTCCAATGGATTCATTCTCTTCAGAGCTCGGCGTGAAGTTTTCCATTCAGTTGGAGGCAAATCACGTTATTCGGAACTCACAGGTAAACTTTTGTGTTGTTGTTCCCTCTCCTGGGGTGTGATGCTGGCCATTCTAAAGGAAACAAGAGTTTGCAAGTAAAAATGATGGCAAACCCATTCAATATGTAAAAAGAAATGTACAGAACAGACTAGTGCTTGGATTAATGCAACTGCAAAGGATGTTTTCAAATGCAAAAAGGGGCAATTTTTAGACCTATACTCACCTGGAAAAGCTGAAGTTGTGCTGTTTTGGTAATAGCCATCTTAAAAGAAAGTGCAGTAACTGATATAAGTACTGGAATTAATTTGTTAAGAAATACCTCAATATTTTCATCCACGCTTCAAATTTCATTATTTAACCTAATGTAATTTAATACAGTTTGTGTTGCATATTTTAGAATTAATTTTTTTAATACGAAACGCACCAGGTTTGGGTTGGCACCATTGGAGCAGGCCCCAACGGTCGGAAGTTGTGTGCCACCTTCCAGCACACGGAGACCTTTGAGTTCCAAGACGAGGTGGGAGCACTTCTACTTTCAGTGTGTCAAACAGTTGGCCAAGGAATTCTGTGCTTTTTGCCATCCTATAAGGTAAGGAAATCTGAACTCATGTTCTTCCTCTGAAAACACACACCCTCTACTGCACAATTTTTGCGTTGTGCATCAACATATATAAATGTTTCTGAAATAAATGTATTGTAGTTACACTCTGTGATTTTATTATATTGTAATTTCTTGGATGGTATATTGGCAGGTGTACAAGTTTGTTTTCATGAAAAAACATGCTCGTATTTGTTTTCAGTAGATGTCTGTATCTTAGTTAATGAGTACAATTGTTTCAATTAGTTTTACCAAAAAAAAAGAGCCAGTCTCTTCTGCAGTTTGTTCTCAAATCGTTTCCCAGAATGTTTTGGAATTATTTAAGGGGGAAAAACCCCTCTCCTCTACGTAAGCACACAACATGAAAGGAAACTTTATGCTTATGACTCAGCAGCAAGAATGCCTTTGCATGTTCTTTGTATGTTACTGGAATGTGGAATTCATCCAATTAATTTCATGTTCAATTTTGCTGCATTGGAGATTCTAGTGTATTTTTCTTGAGTTAGGGGGAATTGCTCACTGGTATTGGCTGAAAGGAATCAAATTTCTCAATTTCAAACCATGTAATACCTAATTTCACTGACAACAGATATCTAATTATGGTTAATCTGTACCTCGCAGTAGTTCTGCTTTCTTCTCTATTAGTTCTTATTGTTATTTATGGTCAGCTCCGAGGAACCTGCAATATAATTCTGTAATCCGTGCCCATTTTTCATGTAATGCTTGCAAGAGTATGACTTTTTTCATTTTAAACCCTCACTTAAAAAATCCTCTCAACAAAATAACCCAAAAACCTCTCCAAAAAAACAAACCCAAAAAATCCTACCAAATGAACAAAACCACAGGCGTTATGAAAATGTTTCAGGCCGTTTCCCTCATCTCTAAGGTTCCTTAACAGAGGATATTTTTAAAAAAGAAATAAAAGCTGTTTCTTCTTTTTTACAAAACCTTCATGTTAGTTTTACTATTTAACAGAAGAGGCTGCAAAGCGAGGCTTTTTTTCACTGGGTATCTATAAAAAATTTCAGCCATTGGTGCAATTACTGACAGTAACCATTAGGTGACCACATTAGACCAGGTAATGTAGAGTAATTGAAAAAAAGCAGATTACTGACTATAAATTTATTTAACCCGTCTCACAAAACTCTGTACTTTTGTGTGAAGTTAATGATCTGAAAATAAGTTTTGCATTGCATTTATTTAAGAATTGAAGTTGGAGCATATTCCAGTTTTCACTCTCGTCATTATTCTAACATGGAGCAGTGTGTGATTGCTGATCTTACGTGTCCAGACCTGAAAAATATTTATGGAAGTTTTTATGAGAATAGTGATCTGAATTGAAAGTACAGAGAGAGTTTGTAATGACATTTAATAAAGGAGGAAGGCAGTTTCTGGACGGTTCTGGTACCTTCCCCCTCTCACTGCCCTTATGTTTTACTGAAAGGTCACCTCACTAAACACGTTGAGTGTTTGGTTTTTTTTTCCTTTGTGGGAACACTTCCATGATCCTAGCGAAAGTATTGATAAATATAAATTGCAGACAATTGAAGGATGATATTTTAAAATCACATTGCCAATATTTTACTGTGGATGCCCTTTTTCATTCTACTTCTTTTATTCTGGCCTGGGTTGCCTTTAAGTCTGAGATTAATATGTTGAAAACACAGAATAATGTAAAGATAAGTGCATTAGTACAGGGAAAACAAGGTATTTTTCTTTCATCATCATACAGAATATTGCCTACCTGTACATTTGCATTTCAAAACCGATTTTCAGAGATTTTCATGGGGAAATTGCTAGTTCTCTTTAAAAAACTGCAGCTTTTAAAGAAATTGTTCAAGGCTACCAAGATCTGATTAATTTAGTGAGGTACATGACCGTGTATATTAAAGGCTGTGAGGTAAGCAGATTTTTTTGAAGGCTCAGCCTGTTTTATGAATTGGAGTTCCCACTTTGGAATGAGTAAAAAACAGTCTTTTTAAATGTCTGGAAGGCTGAGGGCAGTGCTCTGAATTTTGAGTACCATCTATCCAGGTAATTTGATAGAGCTGGAATTTAGACATGTACATTGGATTTCAGTTTGGTTACAACTCGAGATGCATTTTTCAGTCCAACATGCTCTTTGTTTTAAGAATTTGTGGCTCAGCGATGATGCTCTGCGCCCGCGGCAGAAACCCTGCTTCTTGGGTGCCTCTGGTCCAGTACCTCACTTTCAGCATTCACACTGCAGACTTTTACCTGTTTGCCTGAAAACCTTTTGGATGATTACCCCTAATTGCTTTGTAAATGAGGTTTTATTTTTCTGGAAAGCCCTTTATTCATTTCATTCAGGTATTCAACTATATGTTACTTTCCTTGTTTGTGTACAAGGAGAGTGCTAGAAACAGACGTAACCTCTTACTGCACTTTCATTCACTTCTGTTCACTTCAATAAAATACAGGTGTATGTTCTTTTTTGTTGTAAGAATGGTAAATCAATGCTTTTTGGCCTCAGTCTGTGGGAATAGGAAAGATGGAGGGTGTAAGACCTGCCCCAGGAAGCAGAAGTTGGGAACCCTGCCTGATGCAGTTTGTGAGGAGTGATGCAGGGACCCTAGAGCTAGCACCCAGGCAGTGCCCTCTGCCTGCTTGTCCTGTTACTCAGAACTTCATCCCACCATGTCAGGAATAAAATAAATATATGGCAGAAATAAAACAAGGTATTACCATTTATTTGAACTTCTCGGCCTGGAATTTAAGGGTTTTTATCAGTAATATTTATTTCTCTATATTTTGTCTGGAATTTCAAGGAACTTCTCGGTCTGGAATTTAAGGGTTTTTATGAGTAATATTTATTTCTCTATATTTTGTCTGGAATTTCAAGTTGCTTTGTATACGTTAAAGAATTTACCAATATTTGGTGAAGGCGATGACCCCTGTGTCAGAGCCAGAGAAACAAGCTGGCAGAAATGTAATGATTTGTTTCAGGCTTCTGAAGTGTATAAAGGAGAGAAAAAACATCTCATCCTCACCTAGAAGAGATATCAACCTACTAGAAAGTTTCTATGTGCAAATAAACAGAGGGCAAGTAAAATTTCTAAATGTCACCACATTAACCTAATCATTAAATGAGAAAACTGGAGGCTGCTTAGAGAACAGCTGAGCTGAAGGTTATAAATGTCAGCAGAGCACACTGCTGTAGGAGCTTGCATTTTAGGCACATGCTCCTTCCAGTGCTAATGTGGGCAAAAAGCATCCGTTAATGGCTTGCAGTTTTCTCTATTAGCGTTTCTTCTGCTAGATATTTTTCTGGGAGATTCTAGATTTCTTTGAAGAAGCTGTCTACTACCAGGAAAAGGTAGTAGGCACTTGTCGATATTGTGCTCTGGAGTGCCCCTTACAAAGATATTTATAATCTGTAGAATGTCATTTGGCTGTTTGGTGAAGAATTTAAAGTCTGCAGCATTATAAACCTGCAACCTCTCCTAATGATCAGCTTAAGAAAATACATTGTCAGGCTGAGAACATACTTTCCAAAGACCTTTTTACATAATGTAGCAACTGCTATTACTGCAAAAAAGTCTGAATTAAAAATAATTCACCTGTTATCATCCTCTGTGCCCCTCCATCCCCAGTTTATATTTTTTTTTTAATGAAAGCAGCTGTAGCACGAAGAGCTCAGTGCAGTTTTGTGAGAAGAGTCTGTCACCTTGTTACCTCTGTGTAATTTAGAATTACTAGATGCAATGTGAATATGAAAAAAGCAGTAGTAGAGAAACTTGCCTTTATCTTAATCAGGTACTAGAATAAACATACTTGTCATTGAAGAGTGACTGTTTAAAATATACATATGGCAAGTATCTGAGGTTAATAATGCAATGGAGGAAAATAATATGGATGAGAAGAAAACAATACATCAGATATTCATCTCCACATTTGATAGGTGTCTGTTTGTTATGAACAGCTGAGATGCCATGTTTCATGAATGGGATAATCTACAATAACATGCACATTTTTATTGTCATTATTGGAGTTCTGATACATTGACTTTTTTAAAAATAAGCTTAATCTTAACATTTACTAAATTGCAAACCTAGATCATTTTTAGGGCTAATAAGACTGGTGATACTATGCAGCAAAAATGCATTTATGTGAAAATCAGTAGCAACTCCAGCAAAAACACTCTATAAAAGAGAATATCAGAAGGTGAAAAGATTACTCAGAAATCTAAGATGCTTTTAAACAAGATTAAGATAAGGACCATTAGGGTTCATGTCGCCGACCTGTCTGCATTAAGATATATCTTGCCTGGTGCCTGCATCTTAGATGATTCATTCAATATGTGTCATATCAAAGTCAAGGTATCCAGCAAGGAGAAAAATGCTAATGCTTATAAATTTTAGTGATAATCCATCATGATGAATTAACTGACCTTTCTTTAGTAGCTCTTTTACAAAATAAGCTTTGGACAATAATGTTAATGTTGGTGTGTTGAGGTTTGTTTTTGTTTTGTTTCCTGTGAGGCATTTTTGGATAAGCTGTGCCTGCTAATTGTTGAGCCATAACTTTGAAGTAAAATTTTTAAAATAAGGTAGTTGCTCAAAAGGCTTTGACTGCCTGTTTTCATCAGTACGACTTATGAACTGTTAAGTATTTTTCACTTGAGAATCCAAGATTTGTTTACTACTTTTTTTTCTTTTTCTCCTACACCTTTAAGATGTAGTGTTCTCCATTGATCCGGATTAATCATATTTCTTCTGTGTAAGGGTAAATATTTGCAATACAGTCAGCTCTAGCAATAGCTGTTACTTTTCCGTGCCTGTGAGTATTTCATGAATTTTGCATATGATAAATCTGAGACAAAACTATTCAATATCCAGTCTTGAGTACATGTGGCAGTCTCAGTCCTACTACTAATGAACAAATGCCCTTCATCAGAAATTGGCATTGCCAATGTTAGTTAGGAATGTGGAACTAGTAACGTGTAGGAACAGACCAATTGATGCTGTGTT